AACTACAGGGATAGAAATTCATATCAGTGGTTGCTTGGGGCAGGATGGGAGGAATAGTTAACGATAAAGTAGCTCAGGAGACTTTGGAGGGTAATGGAACTGTTCCATATCTTGATGGTGTGGCTGTTACTCAAATGTGTGTGTCTAACTGCAGAACTGTATACTTAAAAGTTTGAATTCAATTTTTTAATTTTTCTATTGCATTGCAAAGATGTTATTGTTTTTCCAAAACTCAGACAAATCATATACTCCCTCAAACAAAACAAACTCTCCTCTAAATGAACAGATGCTACCTGTTCTAAGTCTTTCCTTCACTTATTAGCTGTGTGACTTGGCAAAATCACTTAGCCTCTTTTAGCCAGTTTTTTCACATGTAAGTGATCTATGGGTTATTATGATTATATGAGATGTTGCCTGAAAAGTGTTTTGTACCACCCAAACGACTTATCTTTATAAGATGGAGATGTTTATGAACAGTAGACCTCAGGTCACAATAATGGCTGGTAGATGGGCAAAGGATATGAAAAGGCACTTCACCAAACAAGACATTCAGGCAGCTAACAAACACACCAAGAAATGCTCACGATCATTAGCCGTTAGAGAAATGCAAATTAAAACTACAGTGAGGTACCATCTCATCCCTACAAGGATAGCATTCATCCAAAAACACAAAATAAGAAATGTTGGAGAGGTTGTGGAGAGACTGGAACACTTATACACTGTTGATGGGAATGTAAAATGGTTCAACCACTTAGGAAATCAATTTGACGCTTCCTTAGAAAGCTAGAAATAGAAGTACCATACCATCCAGCAATCCTGCTCCTTGGAATATATTCTAGAGAAATAAGAGCCATCACAAGAATAGATATATGCACACCCATGTTCATTGCAGCACTGCTCACTATAGCAAAAAGATGCGAACAACCTACGTGCCCATAAAAGGACAAATGGATAAACAAATTATGGCATATTCACACAATGGAATACTATGCAATGATAAAGAACAACAATGATGCTGTGAAACATCTTATAACATGGAGGAATCTGGAAAGCATTATGCTGAGTGAATCCAGTCAGTCACAAAAGAACAAACTTTGTATAAGACCACTATTATAAAATTCAAGAAAAGGCTTAAACACAGAAGAAAACATTCTTTGATGGTTACGAGGGTGGGGAGGGAGGGAGAGGGTTATTCACTAACTAGATAGTAGACAAGAATTATCTTAGGTGAAGGGAAGGACAGCACATACTACAGGGGAAATCAGCACAACTGGACTAAACCAAAGCTAAGAAGTTTCCTGAGTACAACCAAACACTTCAAGGAACAGAGAAGCAGGGGTGGGGGTCTGGGGACCATGCTTTCAGGGGACATCTAGGACAATTGACATAACAAAGTTTATTAAGAAAATGTTCTCCATCTTACTTTGGTGAGTGGCTTCTGGGGTCTTAAAAGCTAGTTAGTGGCCATCTAAGATGAGTCAATTGGTCCCAACAAACCTGGAGTAAAGGAGAATGAAGAACACCAAAGTCACAAGGAAAGTATTAGCCCAAGAGGCGGAAAGGGTCACATAAACCACAGACTGCATCAGCCTGAGACCAGAAGAACTAGATGGTGCCTGGCTACCACCAATGACTGCCCTGTCAGGGAACACAATAGAGTGTCCCTGTTGGAGCAGGGGAAAAGTGGGGTGCAGAACTTAAATTCTAGTAAAAATGCTAGACTTAATGGTCTGACTGAGACTAGAAGAACCCCAGAAAGCATGGCCCCCAGAACTAAAACCATTCCCTAGATCAACTCTTCAGACAAAGATTAGACTGGACTATGGGACATAAAATGATACTCATGAAGAGTGTGCTTCTTAGCGCAAGTAGATACCTGAGACTAAATGGGCAGCTCCTGTCCAGAGGTGAGATGAGAAGCCAGAAAGGGTCAGGAGCTGGTTGAATGGACACGGGAAATCAGGGGTGGAAAGGAGGAGTGTGCTGTCACAGTATAGAGAGACCAATTAGGGTCACATAACAATGTATGTATAAATTTTTGTATGAGAGACTAATTTGAAGTTGTACTTAAAGTACAACAATAATATTTTTAAAAAGTACAGAAAATCTCCAAATTATATTAAAAAAATGGCTGTTAGAGTGGAAAAATTCATTTAAATATTTTGATATCTAGAAATTAGAGGGATAAATCAAAGATTGAGAGGGAGAAGGGGAGACAGATGAGGAGAGAGGCAGAGACAAGAGAAAAAAAGAAATTGAAATTTAATAATGGCTTTTCGCATCTAATTTATTTAAAATCAAAACTACATACAATAATAAAGAAAAAAGAATTCTCCAATGGTATATTATGTTGATATGTACGCTTATCACTATCTGTACAAAGAGTAATAGAATGCTACACTCCAAGTTGTTGATAGTTATTACCTCCAAGAAGTAAGACAAGAATGGGAAAGGATAGATGAATCAGGTCTTCAATATTTGTTCCAAATACATCTAATACTTTGCTTGAATCTTAATAAATTAGACTATGATCAGCTGGCTGTCACCCGTTCATCTAAATAACTCATCTAACTTATGCTGGGACTGGAACTGACATCTTAGCTCAATTTCAAGACATGATAGATACAGAGCAAAAGGAAGAAAGTCATATGCTCATAGCAAACAAAAATGGAATAATACTTTAATGTTCCTTTTATTATATTTTAGTAAGCTTTTCTAGTTGTATTTAACTTATCTGTCTTTAACCTAGCTCGGAAAAGGGTGCATTAGCTGGTGATGCTCTCAATTCAGGGGAAGTTGGAAGCTGAGGAATCCCCGAGGAGCATGATATAACAAGTCTTTCCAAATACTTGGCTCTGTTTAAAATACAGGGGTGGAAATATTCCCAAGCCAGAGGCTACTCTTCACAGTGTATATATGCTGCAATGAAGGGAATGCACACTCGCTAACCCTTGTCACAGCAAAAATCGACTGGACTTCATTTCAGACAGAAGATAGAATCCAAAGTAAGCCTTATTAGTGATGAAGGATTTGTTTCAGAGATTATCTCTGTAGGGTAAGTATATCACAAACTATCTGATTTTTTTTTAAATTTTCACTTTTAATATTCCCCCAATTTAAAACTTTTTTTCCTTTTGCAGTAGTATTTTTTTTATACATACCTATTAAGCTTAGAGTACTGCACATGTTATTTAGTTGATGTGTTTACAGGAAAGATGAAGAATTTTCACTCCCAACTCATCCCTGAGACTTCTGGACTCCCTACACGGAGTCTCACACACCAACTAACAAAAGCACTGCCCTTCTACAATCTTAAATGTTCTTAGGCACCCAGGTTGGGGAAGAGCTGTTTTCATGGGCGCTCTGCCTTATGCTGATATTTTCTATTTACTTTTGGATTTTTTCTCATTCTACCATTTGATTGAAGGGATAAATGTAGGAAAATCTCAGCCATTTAGGTTAAAGGTATTAAGTACATTCCAATTTGAAGGCAAAAACTGAAGTCAGATTAATTTTTATATACACGTAGAAATTGTTGAATTGTGTATGTTTTGCTGTACATATATTCAACAATTAGAAAAAGAAAAGAAAAAATAATTTTTATATAAACATAAATGTCTTTTTTATCATTTGGGGCATTTACATTTCTTTGTGTGTAAATTATCTCTTCCTAAGCAAATTATCTTATTTCAAAAATCTTATTTTCTTAGTCTTTTCAAAACCAATGTTCTTACCATAAGCTATCTCTAATAGAGGAGTTACATTGAAGGCTTTGAAGTTAAACAAACCTCAGTTTATATTCCAGTTTGCCACAGTGTAGCTGTATGACTTGGGAAATCAGATTTTCTCATTTGTAAAATGGCAATAAACTTTGTGATGATTAAAATAGATAATCTGTAAAGTTCTTACTACTGCACCTGGTATATAATGCATGCTAATTAGGCAACTTTGAATCTCTCAGTGTACATTTACAGAAAATGTAATAGGAGAAACAGAGATACAGAGGAATAAAGGAAAGAAGGGAAAGGAGGGACAGGGGAGGGAAGAATGAAAAAAAAAAGAATGATTTGGCTTTCTGGCTTAGGGAATTTTTTTTCTCACTAAAAGTGAATTTAAATAATATAGATAAATTGTGTAGGAGAAATGAAATGAGAATTTACGTTTTCTCCTAGGATGGACAATTAGGAGTAAAATTAGCTTTCGTATATCTGTCATTTAAGGTAGTTTCAAGAAAAAGTACTCCCTCTTGCCAGTGAGAGCCAAGGAGCAGGCACTATATATAAGAATTAACATTTATCAGGCCAAGGTATGTATAGTTTTGTGGAAACAGCCCTCCACAAGGAGATTCTAAATGCAAGGTAGTATCTAATACTAGAAATGTATATTCAGTGTCCGGAGTCTTCTTTGGATCATAAACATCTTTTCTCAAATCATTTGATGAACAGTTTTTCTCAGTGTTTGCAGTAGACTTTGGTTCAATTGCATCTACTCACACATTTAGATTTAGCAATTGGTTTGTTTCTGAGAAACATGTTTTGTAACAGAAACATAGCTCTAGATTTTGGCTTTGGGTCAATTCTGGTAAAATAAAGAATTTTCAAATATACTTTAGAGCTCAGAAATTAATAAGACTAGTCCTTCTGATTCCCTGCAGGAAAGGAACATTCAACTCATGGAGAAATTTTTTAAGGAGAACATTATTACTTATATTTTTAATCAGAATGTTTATTTTTGATACCCATAAGAACTGTTTCCAATGGATAATGTTTTTGACTTGCCCTTTTAAACTTCATTAGCTCCCATTCTTGGTCACAAGGCTATGCCCTTTTTAAGAAATAGTTATTAATGTACAATTTTGAGCTTAGTACAATGCTAAGATTTCAATTTTCTGTATGGGAATCTTTTATCTTCTCTCTAACACCTGAACATTAAATCTTTTTTTTTTTTCATTGTAGAATTTCTCAGTTCATCTCTTGCTCTTTGGGACACATTACAGCCAAATGAACTAAATGGGAAAAGCAAATCAGTCTGTGGTATCAGAATTTATTTTTAGTGGAATTTTTAATTCAAGGGAGCTCCAAACCTTTCTCTCACTGCCATTTGCTATACTGTACCTGACGACTGTTGTGGGCAACCTCCTTGTGCTCTTGATCATCTCTGACCCTCATCTCCATTCCCCCATGTACCTTTTCTTGGCCAGTCTCTCATTCGTTGACTTCTGCATTTCCTCAGTCACCACCCCTAAACTAACCACAGACTTCCTAAGGGATAACAATACCATCTCCTTTAGGGGCTGCATGAGCCAGATTCTCTGTGTGCATTTCTTTGGAGGTGGTGAGATGGTACTGCTTGTGACAATGGCCTATGACCGTTATGTGGCCATCTGCAAGCCACTCTGTTACTCCAGCATCATGGACAGAAAAAAGTGCCTCTGGCTATCATGGATATCATGGATCATTGGGTGCGTACATGGCATGAGTCAAATGGCAATGATTCTGGAGCTGCCATTCTGTGGACACCAAATAGTGGACAGCTTTTTCTGTGAAATCCCTTTGGTGATCAAACTAGCCTGCATGGGTACACATACTCTGGGAACATTGATAAATGCTGACAGCGGGGTCTTGGCAACAACTTGCTTCATTCTCTTGCTGATCTCCTACACCTATATCCTATTAACTGTTCACCTTCGCACTAAGGATGGGACATCAAAGGCACTCTCTACCTGCACTTCCCACATCATAGTAGTGGTGTTGTTCTTTGGACCCTGCATCTTCATCTACCTGTGGCCATTCAGCATTACTTGGGTGGACAATTTTCTTGCGGTGTTTTACACAGTAATCACACCTCTCCTGAATCCAGCCGTTTACACATTGAGAAATAAAGAGATTAAAAGTGCCATAAAGAGACGGATAAGTCATCATATGGATTCAAGGGATAATTTTTAGATCTCTCGTGTAATCAGAAAATCCTCTTTATTCACTCTAATATGGTCATGCTTTGATCTCTACACTGAATTATAAATAATGCCCTGTTCATATTTGTAAACTATGAGCGTCCCTAGATGTATGCTTAATGTTTAAAAACACTTTATTTATCCACGCTAACCCTAAGTCAGAAAAAAAGATAAATGGTGCTCACCACAATACTATTGCCTCTGCACTGCACTAAGCATTCGTCTTAGCCATTTTTTTAATGGCTGAGTTTCCCTTGGGAGGCTCTCCTGAATGCATGGCAAAAGTGTTTGAAAATCCTTTGAAAAATATTTTTCTCCAATGGTAATATATGAATTTTATGATTACAGTTTTATTTCACATAAAGAAATAAGAAAAAGGGTCTATGAAGGTGGGGAAGAATGCCTTGCTTGAAAGCAAAAGAAATTTATACTGATTATAAGAAAGTCAAGTAGAAACAGTCAATAACAACAGCACAATGAAATTGCCTGTGTTCGTTCACTGCAGGGCTTGGATACGCTGTATGGCTCTCAGCTAGACATCTAACCAATTTTCTTCTTTCTAAGGAAGCTCTTACTGCACATCAAAAATAAATAAATAAATAGAAAATATATATGTTTATACACACATACGTATATATATAATGTTTGAATATGTGCAGAAGGAAAATGTATGCAGTTGGTGTTATTGTTGGTAAAGTGAGACAAGGCAAGACCATTATATCAGAAACATATAGTCTTTTAAATAAAGGTGTCTGTTTAATATTGCATATTCTATACCTTTGGAAGATATATGTCAAAACATTACGAAGTCTTAATTTCTAGTTTAACCTCATGAACAGCTGAAAGATGTGGTCATGATTTCTTGTGGTGTGATCTGATCACTGTACTAACAACTAAAAAGTAAATAATGGCAGATCAATCTTTGTCTCTATGTCAAAAAATTAAGGGGCTCATGATGGTAACATAACTAATTCAATAAAGAAGTCACTGTAGTCCTGGTTTTCAATATCTTAAAATATAAAAGCAAAACATGTAAACTATATTAAGAAATGTTTGCAGAGAGCTGTGTTTCCCAAACCAAGTTATCATGGAAGCATCACTCAGACGTGTATGTGGACATATGGCAGCTCCTCAGAATATTTTCTAAATAAAATGAAGTCAGCTGTGCTCATTACTATAAATCTTTATTGATAGAAGCCCCGTTTCTTCATAAGTGATTTGAGGCCTGCATGGAACCTCCATTCATACCTTTCTAGGGACTGAATATAACAACACTCCATCCTGGTTGAGTCTTGCTAGATTACATGATTAGCTCTTGCAGATTACAAAAAGAAGTCTTACCGTCCATCTGATTTCTAAGCATACGAACTTGATTTCCCTTTTCATCATTCAACACTTCTGAGCAATTCATGTTTCAGAAAGAATCACAATAGAAATTAAAAAACATTTTGAACTGAATGCTAACAAAAATACAGCACACAGACCACATGGAATGCAGCTATAGCCATGCTTGCAAGGACTTTATTATAGATCCATATATTAAAAAAAATGAAAAGAAAAGCTGCATATAAATGATCCCCATATCCATCTCAAAAATTTTATCCTAAAAAAGTAGAAGGAAATAAAAATAATAAGCACAAAAATTAATGAAATTAAGAAAACAGAATCAAAGACTCAACCAAAACAAAACTGGTTCTTTGAAAAGACTAATAAAATTGAGAGGACATTATCAAGACTGATCAAGAAGAAAAAATAATTAATAGCAAGAATGAAAAAGTGATATCTCTTTAGAAGATATTATGTTCAACTTTATACCAATAAATTAAAAATTTTATATAACTGGAAAACTTTCTATTAAGAACTAATTACTAAAACAAGAAAATCTTAACAGTGCAATATTTATTAAAGAAATTGAATCTGCCGTTAAAACATATGCTACCCCCAACTTGGTTGAACTTTGACCAATTATTTTTGGTACAGTGACTCTGTGTATTCCTTCCATCTTTTTTTCGATGTTTCCTGAATCATTCAATATTTTGCCAAGTGAATCCTTCAATATAGCAAGCGGAAACTTGAATTTTTTCTTCAGTTTTTCAGTTCCTTTAACAACCTGTGATAAGCAGATGACACAACCTTGCTTGCTGAAAGGGAAGAGGACTTGAAGCACCTACTGATGAAGATCAAAAACCACAGCCTTCAGTATGGACTCTACCTCACCATAAAGAAAACAAAAATCCTCACAACTGGATCAACAAGCAGCATCACGATAAACGGAGAGAAGACTGGAAGTTATAAAGGATTTCATTTTACTTGGATCTACAATCAACGCCCATGGAAGCAACAGTCAAGAAATCAAAGGATTTATTGCATTAGGAATATCTGCATCAAAAAACCTCTTTAAAGTGTGAAAAGCAAAGATGTCACTTTGAGGACTAAGGTGTGCCTGATCCAAACCATGGTATTATCAATCGCCTCATATGCATGTGAAAGCTGGACAATAAATAAGGAACACCAAAGAAGAAATGATGCCTTTGAATTATGATATTGGAGAATAATATTGAATATACCATGGACTGACAGAAACACTAACAAATCTGTCTCGGAAGAAGTACAGTCAGAATGCTCCTTAGAAGCAAAGATTGCAAAACTTCTTCTCAAGTACTTTGGACACGTTATCAGGAGGGACCAATCCCTGGAGAAGGACGTCATGCTTGGTAAATTAGTGGGTCAGTGAAAAAGAGGGGGACCCTCAATGAGATGGATTGACACAGTGGCTGCAACAATGAGCTCAAACATAGCAAAGATTGTGAGGATGGCACAGGAACAGGCAGTGTTTCATTGTGCTGTACAGAGGGTTAGTCAGAGTCAGAACCGACTCAACGGCACCTAACAAAGAACAATAACCACTGCCCAGATCAATGTATTAACATTTTCAACAGACCCAAATGTTCCTTCATTCCCATTTCAAGTCAATACCCCCAAAAGTAACAACTATTCTATATCTCTCGTTATATACTAGTTTTACCTGTTCTGGAACGTGATTTAAATGCAGTTATTCTGTGTCTAGCTTCTTTACCTTCACATGTTTTTTTAAGATGCATCATGAAGTTTCATGTATCAGAGGTTCATTCCTGTTTATTGTTTAGTAGTATTTTGTATGAGTATATGATATTTTATCCATTATCTTGTGATTGGACATTTGTTTGAATTTTATTGAGCTATACTAGACTATTGTTAATAAAGTTGCTAGAAGTATTCTTGTACAAGTTTATACCAAAAAAACAAATCAAACTCATTGCCAGTGAGGCAATTTTGACTCCTAGAGACCCTACAGGACAGAGTAGAATTGCCCTATAAGGTTTCCAAGAAGCAGCAAGTAGATTCAAGCTATTGACCTTTTAGTTAGCAGCAGAGCTCTTAACCACTATGCCACCAGGGCTCTGAGTTGTACAGTTAAGATTATTTAAAAAGAAAAATAATTATGGGAAAATTCTAGAGGCCAGAGTAAAGATAAGGCTGAATAGCAGGATGAGAATCTGAAGCAGAAACCATGGCTGCCCTGGAGTCCTTGTGTTCCTCGTGACCACGATACATGGTTTTAAACAACAACATATAGAATCAAGAACATCTTGTTTCTGCACACTAGGGTTGAGTTAAATGAATATCCTAGAACAAAGATAGGGAAATCACTTAATTAAAAAATGTAATAAAAATAAAAATCAACCCACCTGCAAAATAATTTATCCGACCTGCAAGAGACAGTATTATTCTCACATGCAGTAAGTTTTGAAATATTAAAAAAAACCATAAAATATTATAAAATATATGGATGAATATTTGTGTAATTATTATGTGATCAATTTCATACCCAAAACAATGAATAAAACATTAACATATATAATTGACATATTTGAATGATAAAAAGACAAGTTTTATGATCCTGACTTAAATAAAATAATGTTTTATTACTTGAAGAAAATTATTTAATGTCTGCTTTGCTCTGAGTTCATTTTTATAATTAAAAATTCGTATTTAATTTTATGAAAATGCTTTTTTGAAATCTGTCTCCAAAACCCTTTTGTATTGCACTTTTTTGAGTTATTTACAGGGTCCATTAACGTTCCAGAGTGTATTAATCTCTTCTTTCAATGTTAGTGTTTTGTGTCATGTTTAAGGAAGACTTTCCTACTCTAGGGTGTCATGAAGATATTCTCCCATTTTTCTCATATAAATTTTATTGTTCACGTTCTGGTCTTGAATGACCTCAAATGATTTTTTTTTAATTTGAGGTGATTATCATTACATTAGTTTTTTTCTATTTTTTTGAATATCATATTGAAACAGTATCATTTTTTGAAAAGACTGTCCTTTTACTACTGAATTGCACTGGAACTATTAAAGTGCTGTCTATTTTTTTCTTCCTGGAAACAACTTATCACTTGATATAACATATAATTGTAATAGAAACTGCCATGTCCCCATATAATTGATTGAAGCAGATAAACCAGTCCATATAGATTGCTATCTCTAGGATATTTTGAACATACCTTGACAAAGGGAGAAGTAGCATTCACCTTTTTCTAGAGGAAGAAGTATCATGTGGAACTCAAATATTATTAGTGTTTTTAATGCCTTTCTGCATTCTCTAGGTTTCCACAAAAAGCGTGTACAAATTTCATAATTAAAAAATAAAATTATTCAGAGAGTCAAAGAAATTTTTTCACATAATAAGACCACTTGAAATAATTCATTAAATAAATAAAAATATCAGCAAAAATGTTGAAGCCAGGAAAAATATTAATTAAGATTGAATGCCAAATTAAACAAAAATTAGATAACAGATATACAGAACATGAGGTTTATAGAAAGTCAAGTTGTGAGCTTAGTTCAGTACCCTTTTTACCAAAGCTAAAAGTAAATTAGATGAATATCATTGTTTACATACTCATATTATGACAAAAGTTATTTTTCATATCTGAAGCAAGAGCTACA